TACAGATAGGGCCTACATCGAATTTATGAAATTTCATCTAAATGCGTTAAAATCTCACGTATTCTAACAAATGTTGCACATGGGCACCTTTAATGTTATTCATTCGTGTAATGAGAGATGATTATGAAGCGTGCTATCATTCATCCGAATCTCCCCGACGGTACCCAGTGTACATCAATCAGATAGATTATTCATAACTTTGTTTTCATATCATTGACTAACATCAGGCTATCTGATTGAGCCTCCAGTTTTATATACGACCCTAATTACTCAAAAGATCCGTCTGCGTTCATCCGGTAACAATCGCCCGTATGTGGACTGCCACATGTGCACACGTGTAATACACACCTTTTCAGTGAAAATTTAAATTCCCTCGAATAAAAGGTGAGCTTCAGAGAAAAGATTTTATCTTTACAAACTCAGTTTTGAATTGATTAACAGGGTACTATTATGATAACACAAAACTTACTACTTTGTGGAAAATTGATAACTTTTTGGCCATTATTTTACAATAAATATCGATCGAGAACACGTGTTAAGAATGTTAATTAGACAACTACCTGTTGATGCTGTTCAACCCAACTTGTTGATTGGGGAATATATTTTCTCTTACTTTTCACAAAGGTTAATAAAATCAGTTAGCCAACATGTTAAAACTTTATTCTAGCCACTTATTTGTACTCTTTTAATTACGTCGTTTATTTATTGTACATTACCCCGTTTAATTAGGGGGATCACGTGGCTAAGTGGGTAAGACGCTGGCTCGCTAGCCTGGAGGTCGGGTGTTCGATCCCTGCATTGGCCGAGAAAGTTCATTCAGATTTTCCGGCGTGGTTTCCCTTTGTCAGTGATGCAGGATGGAGGGCCTGACAAGGACAGCTGTCTAGTCGTTCGGATGGGACGAAAAACCGAGGTCCCGTGTACACATTGGCGTGCACGTAAAAGATCCCTTGGCAGTTGGAATTCGATATAAGAGTAGGCCGTAGCGCCGCTGCCCGGGCAAAATTTCCCTCGTAGCACACTGTATGGCGTATGTCCGTCTTCATTAGCTCGGGTTAGGAGCAGAACAGTAGGACGTTAACCCCCATTTCATTTCCGTTTAATTTGGTGTTTTCAGTACACTTTGACTTGCGTAGTTTCATTCGCCAGTAGCTCTTTTAGTCATGTGGTTTCAGTACGGTAGTTTCATTTATCAGTAGCTCTTTTAAATAGGTAGTTTTAATAGCCTTTACTTACCTAGGTATGTTATATGTAATGGAATTGTCTTTTGATGTACTATTGATATTATTCAGTGTTTTATATGTGACGAGAGTGTCAAGTAGTATGTACTGTTTATATTGTTCGTTTTTTTATATGTGATGAGAGTGTTCAGTTATATGTACTGTTTAAAATGTTCAGTATTTTATATGTGATGAAAGTGTCGAATAATATGTACTGTTTATATTTTCCGGTATTATTCTGTATGTGATGAGGTGTCATGTAGTATGTACTGTTTATATTGTTCAGTGTTTTATACGTGATGATAGTGTCATTAGAATGCACTGTTTATATTGTTGTGTATGTTGCATGTGATGCGAGTGTCAAGTGTACTGTTGCTCAGTATTTTGTATGTGATAAGAGTGTTCAATGATATGTACTGTTTATATTTGTCGGTAATATCGTTCAATGGTGTTGAATAATAAGAATAGATTAAAGTAGATAAAGTATTTTATACTCACGCTGAATAAATATATAATAAAAGAAAAATACGCCCAGTTAAAGTATTCAATTTTTATTTTACTTCTTCATTCTGTTTGCTGATAATAATCGTCTTAAGAACAATACGCCCACCAGCAGCTGCGTCATCTAAGCTGATCAAGTAAGGGTAGAGAGAAGTTAACAGCTCCGCAGTTCGTTATAATTGACGAAAGTCCCAACGGGAATAACTAACCATAACAGCTCTGAATGTATTGATAATATGGACAATGGCTCTGAAAGAAGTCGACTTTCCTTCTTCTGATTATGAGAGTAAAGCGTTGGCTCAATAACAAGGAGGTCCCAGACTCAATCCATGTAAAAATAACCTCTGGCAGTTTTAATGTGTCCGGGCAAAATTTTTCGCATAGCACTCTGCATGACGTGTTCCCGTCTTCATTATCCCGGTTGGTGTAGAAATGTAGGACGTTAACCCCCATTTCATTTCGTATCATTAACCATAGAAAGTTTTCCGATAAGTATGTCATTGATTTGCATTTCAGCAAATTATATAGTCCTAGTTGCAAAAACAAGAACATCGGAACAACTTTAATCATAAATGCCTCAGTCCCCGGTGTTATCTTCTACACAGTAGCTCGGGTTGTTGAGATCATAGTTCAAACTAGCTTTACATTTACGTAGTGGCGGGTGTCGTGCAAAGAATGTGTTTATCCTTCTTATGCACCTCGGAACGACCTTCGGACCGTAATAATAGCCTACCTTTGCTATGAGAGAGGTATATTTACTCTACCGCTGAAAGACCACCTTCACTCTCCAATTAATCAGTATTGAATCTTTGCCGTTGCTCTGTAACCTCGTAGTGGAGTTTTAGGAGTATCATGACCATCATTCACACGAATATGGTCCTTGATGATCCTTCAAACCCGCCTCTCTATTGCTGGCACTGGTTATTATGAAACATAGGGAGAACTGGGGTGTGGGAGGGGTATCGGGGAGGCCTTGACCAGAGTTGGCGAACTGGTGATGAACGGACACAATTCCGTCGTTCATAACTTCACACATGCATGAACCCTCTTGGAAATTTTACAGTGGGCTAGCTGGTAGTTGTGACTGATGACTATTAGTTGCACCATTGTCACTTGTTTACTCTGATGTGACACGGAGATGAACATCCCGTACTGGTGTGATGGGGCAATGCTTTTCTGGATTGCCGAGTCATGGGATGAAATAATGGATTGAACATGCGGTGCACAGTAACACCAAAAATAAAGATCAACTAAAAGTACTCTTTTTCCGTAAATTTTATTAACGGAAATATTTCAATGTATGTTTGGATTTCATTTTAAATATAGACGTATACAAACACATTTCTCTATATCTGCCAGTTAAAACATAATATATAAATTATCATTTAATACACATTCTTTACCCTTATAATGTCGTACAGATATAAATATGTGTTAATTAACAATAGCCAGGTGTTTTGAAATTCTTTGATAAAATAACGTGTTATCAGATGGCAAAACCCTTTTAAAAGCTATACTGTATATATCCTACACCTATAATCCTTTTACCAATACAGTACCACTGGACAAAAGACAAGACTGTTATTTCAACCTAGAAAAATTTCATTAAACGCGCTTACTTTTGCACCCTAAGCTAGGTTAGCATCTTATTCACGACTGGCTTTCCTGCAAGTTTCCTAAGAGACACTTGTCTGCGATATCACACTCGGTGAAAGTGGATACAAAGCCCACCTGTATACATATACTGCTGTACCTGTATACATATATACGCGTTAATGGAATCTCCAGATCAATTTTCATAATATATTAGTAATTTGTTTAAGAATAGTATTTTGGTAAATTTCTAACTAAAAGTAAAATCTCAATGAAATGTAAAATTCTTATTTCAAAAGTTTTGTATTTTATCAATAGTTTTGTATTGTATTTTATCAATAGTTTTGTATAGTATTTTAACAAAATATTTGTAACAGGTTAAGGAGATACATTTTAATATATAATTTAAACACCTTGCTAATGTTATAAAACACATTGTTATATCACAGAAAAAAGGTCAGATTTATGAAAATATATTTTATTATCATTCTGAGGTATAATGACTTATTGTATTGGATATTAATGATAGGAAATCATAATATAACAATAACCAATTCTCATTTTTTCAGATATGTGATAAAATACATTATGCCAATCAAGTTTCATCAATTATATGTTAGGCTAAAAAAATCTTTTTCTTTAATTCTTCCTGGTTGTGATAAATAAAATACCACCCGATTCTCATGTTTTAAATCAATTTTAGAAATAAAACCTTTTCAGAAGAGCAACCAAGTTTTTTGACTGATGTTTTCCCGGGGAAACAGGACGTCAACTTTTCCCTAGGTGTACCTGAAGAATAAAAATTCCAATTGGTCTGGCCTTTTTTTGTTTCAAAAATGATAAGTATGGATATTGGGACTCTTAAAAAATGAAATCAAGAATGAGGAAATATCCCTCCCTATTCTCCAGATGATAACATCACGATAATAAAAATAATACAAGCTAAAATTATACGTTTCATGTTCTTTGGCTTCTTACAATTGGCAAAGTATGATTTCATAAATTACTTTCATAATATATTTCTTTCCAGGCAAAAACAAAACTGGTAAAGTCATGGATATGAAATAAAGAAAAAATAATATGGAATTTCAGTCAATATAAACTTAATGCCATGTTCTATATAGAAAATCGTATATCTTGTCATGGGTTGTCTTTGAAAGCTTAGACCATTTTTAATTAAGAAGCGTAATATGTATGAACATCAGTGATTGTTGTTGTCATGGTAAATTAGACTAAGCAATAACTATATACGTATTTGTAATACAAATCTTTGGCGACACTTGGCGTGAGAAAAAAATATCTACTTCACATAACAACACTGAATGAAATCTGTAGTTTTACTATTAACAATACTATTATATAAATTGCCATTGATAAAATTCTCGTTATATATAAAACAAATTGCTAAATTTCTCGTCAAAATTTAAATCTCGTTGAACTTTATACAAATTCTCGTAATCGTAATATCTATTTATTTATTTTTTTTACATTTTTATTATTTATAGTAGACCCATTTGTCTATGCAGGACATTTTTTTTCTCAGAAAAAGCAACAATTCTGCAATGTCTCTGCAGATATTAAGTAAAATACGTGACAAGGAGTAGCTTCGCCTGCCTAACCTCGGATATTTTCTCCGGGTCCTCCGCCCCACCCCACCCACTGCTGAAGACCCCTACGCGCAATGAAATTATACCCACATGCTTCTGTCGTAGTGACCGAGCTTGTATTGAGTGGATACTAAACCCCATTTCTCTCTATATATATATTACACTTATTGAGATCAACAATAACGTTTTTTCAAGACAGGTGACAGCGGTCATATCATATTGACTATTTTCCGTTATATAGACAAATGGGTCTAATATATCTACATATAGAAACCGGCATATCATAGGTTTACTAATATTTACCCTTTGACCTTTTAACCTTTAGTAGGTCAGTAGCTGATACTCATTCTTCTCGTTAAAATTTGATTGTCAATACGGGAAATTAGAAAGAAAAAATCGCACAACAGACAATATACACAAAGACCACTATACAATTTAGCACAAAACACATACGATGTCCCTGATTGTCGTTTTCACATTTTGTCGACAACACAAAACGATTTCTACACACATGATGCCACGGGATAATTGTCCGGTACGGACTACCGATTCCGCCCGTCCGTCCGTTTGTGCGTCTCCATTATCAGAACAATTTCCGTTCCGAGTAATAGATCCGCGAATATATATATAATTTTTTGTCCATTTGTTAATTTGACAGTTAATCGTATTCTTGTAACCACTAAATTTATTTATTTATAGTTTGCAGTAGTCACCATTAAGGTATCCTTGACCGTTGTCATGGCAACAGAAGGAGGTAGAGAATTATTCATCACTAAGGACGTCCATTTTGTCACCTTTACTTCCGGGTGTGTGATATTTACCACGGTTTCAACTTAAGGAATCTTTGGTCGTAAGTTCTTTTATGTCTTTCTCTTTGTCTACCGCGTCCTCTTTTTTGTCTACAATTCTCGTTTGGGCGTTTAATTCTTTAATAGCTTGCAATTCTTTCTTCTCTTTCATTCTTCGATTTTGAAACCATATTTTGATCTGACGCTCTGTTAGACATAACATATGTGAAAGTTCAATGCGCCTGCGCCGTGTGAGATATCTATTAAATTTAAATTCTTTCTCGAGTTCTAAAGTTTGAAAGCGTGTATACGTTTGTCGACCCCTTCTTCGTTGATTGGAATTTGGACCTGAAAAGAGAAAATAATTTAAAAAATTACTTCTATGTTTAATAATATCACCATCCCCCATAAAAGTGTAATTTAACTCCCCGAAGTCTCGCCAATGGACTAATATTTGTGGTTTAAATTACGACCAAAGGCCTACTGGTTATCTAAATGTTCGAAAATTGTGCATAGTCAGCTTCGTTAATTCATTTATAAAAATAAAACAAACAAAAATCGAAAAAAAAAAACCCAAAAAACAGAATGTAAAAGTGGTCCATATTTGAAAATGTATATTATATATTCAACTGCTCATTACACAGAAACAATATAGCTATTGCAAAATATAAATCATTTCTCAAATTCCACAAAGTCTGCTTACATCTCATTGGTAAAAGAACACTACTACATATCTTCGTTTTGTAATAAATTTTAGTATCGTACATATTTTTCATTGCAAATGTTTTATCTGGATTGTTTATGACAACTGTCATTGGAGAGATATGGTGCATCAAAATGTATTTATTTTCTACAAAAATCTACAATCACCAATGCTCCACACTTTTAAAATAATATACCATTATCTTACTATTTTGCTGATAAATCCGCTTATTGATTATTCTTTAGGATAAACTTATATACAATGCTATGGGCCACTCAATCAGGATCCTAATGTCTGTATAATTTTAGGTTAAATTTTAGAAAGGGAAACAAGTTGCGATCATTGCCTTATCGTCGCCATCTTGGAATTGTGCAAAAAACACACCTAGGTTCATTTCGAACGTACTTGTATATGGGGATCTTTGGATATCTTTTCTAACACTGTCGCTCCAAAAGCAACAAGATGAGTACCGCTCGGTCAAAAATTGAATTTAGTACGGTTAGAACATATAATATTAAATTCAATGTGAAGTATTCATTAAGTGGTCCCTTTAAAACAAACAGTTATGGCTGTCAGTGGTGTACTCGGATTATTTGCTGTAAGCTATTTAATATAAGTTAATTGGCAAGAGTTTTAGATTATAATCCAACGCTTGTTAAAATTCTCCCCTTCACAGCCAATAAATAACTATATCTTTTCTTCCCCATCTGTGTCTCAGTGACAATGCACGTGTTCGTGAAACAAACTATTTTTTTGCTTCTATCTTGTCAGATTGGATTCGGGTGACAATAATTTACGCCATGTCAGAAATGTTTCCTGTGTCAAAACTTTCAAAGTGGTTTCCTATTTCCACATGTTTTCGTGAAAACAATTTATTGGCTTTTGGCCCAAAAAATCCAAATAATTCTGTTATTGAACAATTTTGATTCCCATACAGATTTCTAACACATTAGCATGTAATCCTTTTTTAAAATAACAATCATATTTTGATCCTTGAATACTGTATCTATTAAAAGCTAAAACATTTTCTACATATTTGGTAAATGGACGGTTAAAGCTTCCTAGATATCGGTTACTATAGTGAGCAAGGGTCGAATACTCAGAGCTATAGAACCAAAGAAAGGGTTAATTGAAGTCTCTGTTCTGTTTGAATGTTGTTAATAAAAACCAAAATTTGCAATTAAGATTCCCTATAAGTCATTATTATATTTATTCAAAACTCCAACTCTGTTCCTGAAGCTTTATGTGTGAGTTCCAAACAAAGTAATTAAACGCCGTTGGAGCTCTGTAATTAAGTCAATACAATTTTATTAAAATTTCAGAAACCAGGAACCAGATTATTGTAACTTTAAATAAAAGCTAATATTTGATTTTTAAGTACAATTAATTCAATAAGGGGTTGTAATATTTGCACATCCGTGTGCAGTAAATGCTAATAACTCTTTGTTCACACACAGAAATGAGTTAGGTGGCCATTAGATCTCGTATGGTTGCCATTTTGTAACATGTAAACTAGCTGAAGTGTATCTCACCATTTATCAAAGATACGAATCAAAAACATTTTATTGTGCCACTAATATTTTTCAAAAGTCTAACTGATGGGGGTGCGGTTTGGCATCACTGCTGTAGAGGAACGTATCACGAACACACGTGCAATGCTGGAAAAATAAACTTGTCTAAAATCTTAACTGCGATCCGTATCAATCGTGACAGCTGAGTATTCTTAGTAGATTTCTTGTCCAAGTTTAATCATAAATCGCAAAAAAGCTATTAAGGCATGAACTATAATGGACTACATTGGGCAGACTACAGAGAAAGGGATCGTTATTTAGTTTGTATAATTAGTCTCACCAATAATGCCAGCTATTTATTTCTGTTTATAATGAGCATCATTTGCCTACTGGAAAAAAAACTGGATTTGTATTGTAGAAGAATAGCGACTAAAACATATTTTGTGTAAAAATGATATATTTGCCATTATGACTTGTACATGTCAAATCTAATTATATGATAAATTTCGTGCGTCTTAATTTGAGTTCATTAAAGTCTGTGTATACTCCCCTGTTATTTATTCTGTGTTAAAGGAAATTTACAGCAGTTTTTGTATTTCAAAGTTATGTTAAATACTACTCAGACTGAATAATAACCTCTTAATGCATACCAGTATCAATCATTTAAATAATTATATATAATATTCAACATATAGGTAGTTATATATTTCCGAGACATTTATGTAGTCCAATGTATGAAATACATGTACACCAAACATTGCTAGCTATGTCAAATTCAGGCTGTTTAACTATAACTAGAAACAATAAGTGTGAGTCCAACGCTTGGTCTATATAGTTTTTTGGTTTGTTCATTTTTTTGTCTATATAGACTTTAAGCCAATAAGTTTAATCCTAACGCTTAGTCTATATAGATTGTATAAACAATGGCATAATTCTAACTAATTTTAATATACTTATAAACAATAAACACCTAACAAGACACACGGCTTCGCCCGGAGCCCAAATACCCTCCGATGCTACCTTATTTCGAGTTTCATGAAACCGGAAGTAGTTTTCGCGTCATAATCAGAAACCGGAAGTGGTAGTCCATCGCCACCAGGCCTATGTTACTGCCCGGTCGGTCTAAGCTACCTGTATGCACCAATTTTCAGTCCCGGAACAACCCTAGTGTAGCCGCCAAACCTGAACAGACAGAGAGACAAACACACGACAGTCACAAATATTAGTATAGATAAATGAGTCATAACAAGCAACATAGACGTCATATAGCCCTTGTTTATGTAGAGTTCAATCTAAGATTAGACGATATAAATTCTTGCTAATTAATTTGTTTATGCGCGTTTCTACCCACTAACGCTCAAATTACACAATTACACCATGTTTTCATTAGTTACATATGCTGAACCTGGTATAAGATGGCGTACTGTCTGCTTATACCAAGAAAACCGGGATAATTGGGGTGGAGAGGGGAATTTACGAAATATTATATAATAAAAAGTCATAGTGAGTATTTAATCTTTGCAGCGATTATTTTTTCAGAAGCGGCACTCAAATGGATCAAAATTATCGCCCGAAGAATATTTTCTTCTTTCTTCAGGGGTCTATTTTAGCATGACAAGGTGTGTATTTTAAAACCCATAGAAACACTATGGATAGAGGATCTCATCAGAAAGGCGTGTCAGGACTATACATATGATACACTTTTATTTCAATAATTCCCTTCTATAAAACTCACAAGGTTAGAGAGGCGAACCTACTCTCCCTTTTCGAATGCTGTCAAATAAAAAATACTACATTTATATATAAATCTAATATATTAGTAACAAAAGAAATAACGTACACTAGAAGAACATCGCATTTAAATTTGTGCCTTCCTTATGTTTTTTGTAGCGGGGGGGGGGCGAATGGCTAACGCGTACGGGTTGCATCATATAATCTGTCATTGAGTCAATTAGCGTGGTTTCGATTTTCCGCTTTTACGTGACAAGGAGTAGGGTCGCCTGTCCAACCTCGTGGGGTTTCTCCGGGTTTTCCGATTTGCTTCCACTGCTAAAGACACCATACACGCAGTCACGCATACGAATTAATGAAGTAAAATTTAACCATATGTTAGTCCCGAAATGATCTAGCTTGTGCCGAGTGGACGTTAAACCCCTTTTTTCTCACCCTCTTTATGTTTCTGTAATATTAGTATCATACACAAAGTGTATAAATCATGTTAGTTATTCAAGTTCCCACCCAGACCCCACTGCTATCCCTGTATAGCGTGCAAACCCAGATTGAACCCATAACGTAAGTTGACACCAGACCTTATGATCTATAACGCGTATTAGAACACTCCCACCCTCATGTCTTCTAGAAGGTTGCCAAAAAGTAAAATGCTGAACCCCATTTCATTTGATTTCATTAGTCATTTCGTAGTATCAAAAACAAGGATTGTTTCCTTACGTTCGTAACTAAACCTAAATGTAATACTACTTTCGATTTAATTTCCACTTTCAATTTGCAACGCTATTCATATTCTTCAAACAGGAACGTGATTATCACTTATAATTTTATTGAAAATAATGAAAACCTTGTTCTATTTGGCCTCCACTTTATATCTGGCGGAGTAATACACTATATCATAATATGTATCAAGAAGTTTTGTCATCCTATCACTAAGGCATCTAGATGAGGAATCATTTCTGGTTTGTCGATCGCGGTAATAAAATCTAAAAGTAAGCTTTCTAATATTAAATAGGGGATTAGGTTACAGTTTTATATAGCGGCTATGGGAAGTTAATGTCTGGGATATACAGCTAATATCATATACAACTGTTTCGGTAATAACATGATAATAAGAAAGTCAAAGGAACTATAGACACTTTCTGGTTCATCTACATATGACATTCATAAAATGTAATGAAATGAATTTTCGGATCCTTCTAACCATGAGTAGTCTATATTTTATTTGGTATCCGAATATTACTAACAAGCCTCTGGGATATCCTTCTCCATAGAAACAACCACAGAATATTGGACATTTTTTTTATCAACAATAGTTTCATTCCAACGAGGTTTTCAAATAGTAATATTCATGTACTATAGCTGTATTTACGGGTAAACCACCTATAGACAAACGAAGTTAGAAT